ATGATAAACTTATCATAAAATAGTTTAACAATAAGTAAATATTTTAATGTTCAGAATAAACAATACTATTTTATTTCTTGTTATTATATATGAACAAAATCAGACTAAAACACAATGTGTTTCAAGTGAAATTGAGTTTTACATAATAGAAATTTAATGAATTTTACAGTTCAATAATTATGAAAGTGGTGTAAGTCCATTTATGGTCCAGAAAGAATATATTAGTTTAGTTAAATTCACATAGAAGTCTTTATGCAATCAACTTACATATTTCTAAAGTCATAAAAACATTGTCAAACTTAGTACACTTTATTTATATTTTTGAATCAAGTAAAATGCAAATGTTTAAATATCTCGAAAAAAGAAAAAATGGACTTACACCACTTTCAAAATAAACGATCCATATGAATGTTCAAAATTAATAAATATAAATTTAATTGAAAGCATTCAATGCCTTCTAAAAATAAAAAATATTCCATTCTTTAATATTTTAAGTAAATTTATTTTCATTTTATTGCTAAAAGTAAATATTTATAATAATAAAAAAGTTCAGGTAAATTTTTCAGATAACAGCAAATAATTTTCCATTGTTGAATATAGAAGATTCTAAAAATTTATTTTAAAGTTCTTTAAAATATTTACTAAAATATAGTACAATGTATTATAAAGTAATATATTTTTGAATACTGCATTACTTTAACATTCTGTTTTATAAATGTGAAAAAAAATATTCTTACAGATTTAATAATTATAATTTCTTCCTGCCAAAATTGAAAAATTATTATTAATTAGTGACATTCAGTGCCATGCACATTATTTCTGTTACTAGAGGCCACTAATTTCATTGCAACATTTAAAGAATTTTATTAAACTAATATTTGTAATATCAAATATTTTAGAAATCAAATTAATCACAATCTTGTAGGTCCATTACAATAAGGTAGTAATATTTGAATGGGGGGAAAAAAACAAAAAATAGTTGTTTGTCACTTTTAAGAAATATTGCATTTTTAAATGCCACTGGAGATTATTGTGTGTGGGAAAATGTAAACATCAAATCCAATGCTGATTTAGAAGTGTCTAAAGAAGCAAAGTGTAAAGTGGAGATTTCAGACTCTGCTACACAAAAGACAGTAATGTATAATTTACTTTATTGTGAAATAAATACTGATTCTATTGACAAATTTGTCTTGAGTTTCTATTAAAAAAAATCAGTATGCATGTAGAAATTAAGATGCATTTGATAGTGTACTATATTCAACTAACTACAGTACAGTATATGTAATTCCCAATATTTATACTTTACAATTTTAATATGAAAAATTCTAAAATCAAAACTTATATTCAAAAAATGAAATGCAGAGAAAATATATTTGACCAAATACAGTAGAATCTGCTGATTTTACAATCACTTTGGGATTTGCCTGTACTGCTAACATTAACCAATGGTTAGTTACAGTACAGGCAAATCCCTAACTGATAACATTACATGGAAATTCTGATTTTTAATTTTTTATGTAATTAAACATTCTAAATTTAATTACGCAAACTTTTTAATATTTTATAATTGCTAAATATTTAAAATGATAAATTTTTAATGTTTACCTCAGCTCCAAGAGCAGGTGAAAAAGCTCTCATATCCCATAATTTGATGGTTTGATCTTTACTATTAGTAATAAGATAACGACCATCACCCTAAATAAGAATAAAATAAAAGTATTTTAATCTCATTTTTAACAATTACATTTGAAATGTAATTAAATTTTGAAACTTTCAAAATTAAACTGTTTGATTTTAATATAATAGCAAAAACAAAAAAACAAAAAAAAATCAATGTACCTTTGAATCTACATATGTAATTCCATCCAAATGACCAGCAAGTATACCAACAGGCTTTGGATGTGATTCATTCAAAGTTCTCCTATCCCAAACCTATAATTTTTTCATATATTTATCTATATTTAGTTAATTTTCAAAATAATTTTTCTAATTATAAAATATAATTACTTTGCATAAACCATCATCTCCTCCACTAAAAAGAATCTGAGATGTACTATCTGCAAATGCAACACTATTTACATCATCTTCATGCGACCGAATCTAGAAAAAATGTTTTAATTAAAAAAAAATCATTCACTTAAACTCCATTTAACATGTTCAAAAGCAATAGTATTTTTTGTCAGTCTGATAAATTCTTTTAAATATTAAAATAGTAATAAACACAAAAACGAAAAGTTAAATATTGAACTAAAAATTAAGTATATGTTTACAGAATATAGAAATAACAACAGTTAATTTAAATGTGATTAATATTTTATTTTTTATATCATCAATGATGAATTGACAATATGAAATTGATTGTACTTTTAATTGTCAAAAAGTCGTTATTAATCTGTGTTAATTTTAATAAATAAGTGGTCCTGTAAATACAATATACAGTGGTGCCTCATATAACATACTTAATCCGTTCCAGGTGCACGTCTGTTAAGTGAAAAGTCCGTTATACAACAGTCATTTTCCCATAGAAATACATGTTAAAACATACAATTCGTTCCGCAGCATAAAACAACCATACTGTACCATAAAAAAATGAAAATGGAGCAGTCACCAATTATGCCGGATAGTTAGATGTTATGAGGAGGAGTTGGAGGAACACTTTCTTCACACATTCATACAGATACAGACTTTTTACACATTGCAGCAGGTCTCTTTTCATTTTTTTTAAATCAGAGTCAGATTCAGGAGAGGCTACCAGAGCTTGCAGGGTCAACTCCTCTTGTTCCATCCTTTGCTATTTGGCAGCTGGCTTCTTGAAAATCATGTCCANCATTATAATTTATGTTTTATTAGTCAAAAGTATTATTTTAATTACTGGTACCAAAAAATTCATACTGATAGTCTGGAGAGAGATTATTTTTTTCTTGCCAAATTGAAAATTGTACCAATTTGCCATTCAAAAACATGAAAATTAGCACACAAAATTCTATTAAGTATCAATTCCATGATACACTTAGGAAACTAAAATTAGATTACAACAGTAATTGATAACAATTGATTAAACTCTCTTTTAAAATAGTAGTATTGACATTTAAAATCATATTAGTTCACAATATTTAAATAATGAGTTAAAAAAAATACATGAAAATTGCACAATTTTAATATTTAATGAAAATATATTCATTGTGTCTGTAAGTATTATTTTATATTATTGCCTTCAAGCAATAAAACTTTTTTTTAATCATTTCTTATACAGTCATTTATATTTACTGCATTTAACTATCACTTAAATACCAACAATATTTCTATAGCAATTGTCGTAAAATACAAAACTACCTTTTCTTATTGAAAAATTTTATAGTCATAGGAATTTTCAAATTTAACAAATTAGAAAATTGATCACTCTTTTTAATCAGGGATGTACTTTTTTCAGTTTTTGTTCAGCAAGACGTCTTGACCTCCTCAATCCATTTCTCTCAACTTGATCAGTTTCATATTTACCACCATCATCAGTATCACTATCTACTTTTCCAACATAAATCCATCTGCCAATGCTTCCATCCCACTTTAAAAACAGGATAATTATTATTATTATGTATACTTTGTAACTTTAAAAAGATATTTCTAAAAACAAGCTAAAAAACTTACTGAACTACTGATAATTTCTTGATTGTATGGATGCCAAGAAACATCTCTGACACATGCTCTATGACCACTCAGTTCAGAAACAATTTTTCCCGTCAATACATCATAAACTGTAAATGATATTAATTTAATATGTACTTTATAAAAAAAAAATTATTTTACATCATCATCGTCATCAAATTACTTACTGACTATACGTCCTGCAGCACAACCAGTGTATATAAACTGTTGTCCTGTAGTAAATTCTGGCGAAAAATGGCAACGAACAAGAGTTTGCAATACACTATGCCCTCGATATGTCATTAAAGATGTATCCCCACCAATACGTTTTCTATGACTGTACACTAAATGTAAAAAATTAACAATATTTAAATAAACTTTCTATTTTCAGTTATTATACTGAAAATATTTTATAAAAATATTAAACATACATTTTTTAGGTACTCTCTGCCATCTGTAATCCCAATTATGTGAAGCAACTGCTTTCTTTGTAGCCTTTAGGAAAAAAAATATTTAAGTAAATCTCAATGTTTTAAAATTAAAATACTTAAAATGCAATAAATAACAAGACTCATCAGTAATTTACTAATTTATAAATAGAATATTTTAACACTCGTAATATCTGATAAATAACTAAAGGGTAAGTAATACTCTAACTTAACATTATTTGGTAACATGTCAAATATGTATGGGTTTGCATTATATCAAGGAATAACAATTTTTATTTGGTTTTAATTTCTTTCATAGGAAGACTTTTTTTTTTAATATTACATTATATGGACCATTTATTTTGAAAGTGGTGTAAATCCATTTTTAGAAAAAATTGAGAAAACACATAATATACAGTAGATCCCCCTATAAAACCGTTTCCTATAGTTATGATTCCTATAAAAATTGTGGCATTATCCGTAAACAACGGTAAAAATAACTCCTATAATACGTAAAACGTCATCGGGCAGCCGAACTACTTACCCGCCGTCCGTAGCGCCACGCTACGGAGAGATTTCTATCGTCTGGACAGTATTATATAAATTATATATAAATTAGGTACTGTACATATAATTATATATTAATTATATATAAATTAGGTACTGTATATATAATTATATATTAACTTAATTTATTGTAACTTTATTATAATTAAATATATATTTTTCGCCGTCTAGCGTCACGCTACGGCGAGTTAGGCGACCTATCGTCTGTTTAGTACTGTAATTTTATACATTTCTTGTGAAAGAAACATTTCTTATTTAACGGCCATAAAAATTATTTATATTAATGATGTCTCCAAAGGTCAACGAAGTTTTCGCAGAAAAATAATATCAGAA